AGAGAGGCCACAAAAATTTGACCCTCTGATGTGTAGAACTTTGCTAAAATAAGAACACAAACCAGAAAATTTGCTAGAATTGTGACATTAAAAAGAGGAACTATGTGATTTTCAACCCTTGTTTGAATCAAAGAAGGATATGGTCTCAGTGATCACAGCCTTTAACATCAAATTCAGTACAAGTTTGTTAATAAAATCAGAGGAGCCAAAATCATTGCCTTTTGAATCTTTTTCATCAAGTCTGAACAATGGGGTGAAAGGTAAGTGAGCCAGTCCAAATCTCTGATAGCTGGAACCTCTGACTGAAATTACCATAAAAGCCTTCCAACCACATGAGGCAGTTTTTGTGCTGCTAGTCCCCCTCCTCCTGATAGAGACGCTTGCTTTAAATCCATTAATTGCCCACCAAATCAAGGGCATTATGGTCACATAATAACAAAATAGCAGTTTTGTGTCCCTTTCTTTGGTGTGGGAAGGGCTGCAAGGTCATTTTCTCTCTACAGTCTTCTGGGACCATTTTGATTTCTTCTGGTTTGGGACCACTGTGAGAGATCAGGATCAAATGACTGTAATTCTGGTTTGGCTGTAGGGGTAGAAAGGGTAAATGCGGGATGATGAAATAGGGGCCTATTGGTCATTATGAGAAATGTGCGGAGAGAGACACAGAGATGGGGTTCAAGGAAAACACCACGTCTCGTGTCCCAACATGTCAGTCAACCATGTTTGACCAGCTTTATCCAACCCAGCAAAATTATTACTGCTTAATAATTACATATTATTGTCACTAATTTTCCCCTTCTTTTCTTTTGTTTGTTTTCTTATCTTTTTGCTCATAATCATTCATTTTATCTTTTTGGTATTACAAGTACTACTAACCATCTATAAATAAATAAATAAAGCTTAATCCAAATAGTATGGTATAAAACAATATGTAACTCTAGATATCTTAAGTTCGAATCATTAAATATACGACATAATGTATTGTAACGGTCTACTCTTCGTGAGTGATTAACATTAAACCAAGGAATTTCAATGTGTTATCTTAACTTTTATGGTCACTTTCTCTTGGGTAAATCCTCCTAATGGGACCCCCAGTTAATCATCGAGTTCATATGTTTTGATTCAACAAGAGGGCCCCATATATTTACCATGAAGAATATGCATATATACATGTGTCACCCTCCTGATTATCATTAATCAATAAAGTTGAAAGCTGAAACTGTACCTAGGTCTAAGGGATAATAATGCACTATTCATATATGATGGAGGTGGAGCATGGAGCATTGCTGGGTTTGTCGTTTAGCCCTAGCATATGTTATAATCTGCAACAGTGTTTTTTGCTATGCTATAGTTGGACCGTACGTGGAAGCAACCCCATCAACACCCATTTTTCATCATTATAATAAACCTGAAAAAGAATTCGAACATTATTCTGGCTAACTAGCCTAACCCACATGTGTGATGTGAACGATAATGTTACGTTTAACACATTGAAGGGGATCCAAGGGCTTCGCCTTCCACAATGAATGAGAACTCGAAAAAGATATTTGGTTTCATATTTTTCAGGATGTAGGAATTCTATCACCATCGATACTTTTTGTTATAAATTAAACCCTAAATTAATAATTAATACTTGTGTGTCACAATTAATTAAATGTTTCTAGGAGATCCGGATATCTTACCAAGCAAGTATTATTATTACAACAATTTATAATTTTTTATTTCTACAAGGAACTTAATCTTATAAATTAGTTAATGTTAGTTACATCAAAATGGTGGTTGCTTTGCTTGGTCAAAGTTTTGGTCAACAAGTAAAGTAGGATGTTCTGATCACCAGCAAAATTAAGAAGAACGTAAGCTGTGGAGTGACACTAATGTCGTGTTTTTATTATTATTTTTATTTTTACACTTGAAAAAGAACAAAAATTTGTTTATACATAACATTAAAAACATTGCTCATGGGCATGATTATAATCATAATTAAGGACATTTGGGTAATTTGGGTGATTGTTTTATCATTAGGGGAATTGGCACATAAGTAGTTAAAATGGTACTTACGCTAATTCGTTTTTCACATCACAACAATTATCATTCATTATAACAACATAATTGGTAATTTGCACCCAACAAACATATTAATTCCACTCATTCATACAATTCATGTGAGCATAGAATATAGATAATATACAAAATCAGGATTAATACATTTAATTATAAACTGCGATAGTCTAAACTACAATAAAATGTTAAATATTTATACGGATAGAGGATTCCTTGATTTTTCATGTAACATTTTTGAAAAAATATATATAATACTTTCAATTTTGAAATCGTAAGTAGTTGTATAAACCATATACTAGTTTATTGAGGAATTAGGAAATTGGGTATGTAAAAATAGACAAACCAACTACGTTAGGTCAGAATTGAGTAAAGGCAAATAAACTAAGGGAATCATATAGTCCCTTTTTGTTGTGTCTGTAAACCTTGTTCAACAACCAGAGATATATAATATAAAGCTACCCTACACAAAAGTATTTGATATGCATTACCTACGATTAGGGCCCATATAAGGACATTTTTCATATTTAATTTAAATATCTATTTTTATGTAACATTTTTTATACAAGCGATATTCTATTTTAATATAATCTAAATTATGAAAATGGCAATTCGAACTCGGGTGCAGAATAGAGAGCTCTAACCTACTTAAACTATAAGTATTTTTGTCCACAAATTGAATATTATATATTTTGTTTAAATGTATAATAATGTATTTGATAGATCATTTTGTAATATTGTATTTGATCGATTATTGTATAATAAGTTATTTAAATTATTGTTTGGAATTTGATACCTGATCCATTTTAATTCTTAATTGAATATTGTGTGTATATATATATATATTTTTTAAATAATGAGATAGAAAAAGGAGATAATATTCAAAATTGTCGCAAGATTGAAAAAATACCACAGAACTACTACGAGACAAAAAACAAAATGCGCATATCATGTTTGTTACGTTTGTCATCAAAGAGGAAAAAAAAAAAAAGAAGAAGAAGAAGAAAGAAATCAATCTTACGTTAGATAGAAGG